GTCATGGCTGAATCAGAGTCAGGTTTACAGATCATCTGTAGAATGTCAGGTCCCCTCACTAGCTGTTTGACCTTACATAAATCATAAAACTTCAAAAAAACTGCAGTCTTTAAAAAAAAGGGAGGGTTGTGTGGGATGACTAGCAATGATACTATTTTAGTCTTTTTGTGATTCTATGACAAAAAAATGTTATTTTGTGAACAATAAATTTATTTCTTCGAGTTCTAGGGTTCAGAATGAAGGTATCTGGTAAGTGTGCTTGGTTCCAGGGCAAGTCTTTTGTTCTCTTCTTACATTGTGGAAAGGGAAAGGTAGTTCTCAGGAGGTTCTTTATATTATAAAGATACTAAAACCCATTTATGCAGAGTTGGCTCTTATGTCCTAATAACCTTCTGTCTTCTGTCCTTAGATAACCCTGGTGTTATCTGAGTGGTTTAGAAAGATAGTTGCAATCAGTGATAAAGATAACCATTTCTGGAGAAAGCTAAGCAGTTTGCTCATATACTGCCTCTGTGGCTCAGCTGCTCTTGGTTACCAGGTGGTGAGGGATGGACAGAAGGCCTGTTGATCTCTCTCTTAAACTCTTAGAACTAGATTTCAACATAGAATTTGAAGGAAGAATGAGATTCTAAATGCAGAGCCTCACAGACATCTATGGCATTCTCAAAAGTCCTATTGTACAATGGGGGAGGAAAAGGAGGGTGTGTGTGTGTATTTGACTCAGATGAATATTCTTGCCCTAGAAACTATTACCTCAAGAATTTTTCCACACACAATCTGGCCCCTGTAGATGCTTGCTTTTTTGTTTTGTTTTGTTTTTGTTTTTCAGACAGACAGACCTGAATTCCAGTGTGTTTTGCTTTATTAACTAATTACTTTCTTTGTCTCTGTCTCATTTTCCTATTTAAAAAACAAATCTTATGTGAAGATTAAATGGGAAGAGATGTGTGAAGCACTGGTACTCAGAATCAGAGGCTCTTTTTACTGCAGTGAATTTGGGAAGATTCTCAGTTACCAAAAATTCAGGAGTTATCTGTACTTTTTAGGACTTTTATATGTTTGCAAAGCTCTTCCCTCCCCTCCCCCCCCTAGTGTTGACTTTGGTGTTCTAGAACATAATTTCTGCCTGAAATGTTTGAACTTTGGAAAATGGTCATTTTTTTTTCTTTCTTTTTTTTTTTTGCCAAATTTTCTTTCTTACTAACTTGGAGAAGCTGGCCCATCCCTTTGAGCTGTAATTGCATTTCAAAGCTTTTGTTCCTGGTGGGATTTAATTAGTTTAAGGCTCCAGCTTTTAGGCAGTTGTTTGTCTAGCAAGTGAAAGTGAAGACAGTGGCCTACGAGGCAGTCCCTTTAGTTTTCCTCCAGCATAGCGGTGTTTTTGAGATGCTGTCTTTGTTTTCCGTTCCATGCTTTCTTGAATGCCCATCTCACTTAAAGGAAAAATAGAATACAAAAATCCTGATCTTGTGGGGTATGATAGCCTATCCCTGTAATTTTAGCACTTGGGAAGTGGAAGTAGGGAGATGACTTCAAGGCCAGCTTGAGCTATATGAGACTTTGTCTTTAAAGAGAGAGGTAGGGGAGAGGGGCTTGGAGGGATGGAGTCGGGGAGAGGATGGAGTCAAAGGGCAAAGGCAAAACAACAACAACAAAAAAACCCCCTAGACTTAGAGCTAGAGGACATCCCAAACCCAAGCTGTTCTGTGGTATCCTGGCCAGGTTCTTCTCCATTTTTTTATTTTATTTTATTTTATTTTGCAACAGTAAGAACATAAAAACAAAGTTCCTACTAATGTAACATTACAAATTTCTCTAGTAACACATGTGGTTGTTGTATGACCTTTGCCCTCCCCAGGCCCACCACCCACCTCTCCTCAGTTGTATTGTTATAAAAAAAAATCTTGGAGTTTTTGGTACTTTGCTCTTAGTCATACAGTTTATAAAGCAAGGTTTGGCTGGCAGTAGGGAACAGTTTATCAAATGAGATAGTTTTTGCTGAAATGGATATTGATATTTTTAGGATTCCCACTCTGAGACACGTTAATCTTGAAAAATCCAGAAAGAGGCTAGATGTGGTAGCACATGCTGGTGATCCCAGCACTTGAGAAGCAGGAGGGTCTGGAGTTTGTCATCATCCATGGCTATATAGCCAGTTCATAACCAGCCTTAGTTACATGTTACTTGGTCTTTTTTAAAAGGTCAGAGGAATAAAGGGGGAAAATATAAAATAAGGATATTTATTAAGTTGGGGGTGTTGGTTTTTGAGGGTGGGCGTTTGGACCAGACCAGCAAACTAAGGCCTGAAAGCTAGGCCGTATGGCATACACCTCTGTGATAAGACTCAAGTGTTCTACAACGCCCTAGACATGTGTCTGTCCTCTTGGGCTTAGGGAGTCTACAGAATAGCACATAGCCTACATGCCAAAGTATCCTGCAATGCTTAAAATTCAGCTGGGAGGATGGAGACTGAGAGTTTGAGATTTGGGTACCAGAACATGTTCTGTGTCCTTTCTACAGAGCAGAACAAGGTGACACAGTTGACTCTTGACTCGTGGTATCCTAAGAATGTACTCTAGTCTGCTCATGACTCTTGTTTAGAGTGTCCCACTAGCAGTGATGTTAGTAGATAAATATATAGGTCGTACTAATATTTGATCTTGTAAAAGCCTCCACAGTTTGTAAGGTTCTTATTGTCCCAAAGCTCAAGTGAGTTGAGAAAAGATTGGCAAAGTAAAACCGGAAAGACTTCTCCAGTAAACCAGTGAGTGCTAATTTCTCCACAGTGCTACACAAGGGTGCTCAGTGAATGCTTCCTACTCAGTGTGTTAGACACTTCTAACAGTCTGAGGGAATCCACTACTGCCTGTCTTTGTCAGGTATACGGCAGAGCCAGCAGCCATTGCATCTGAACTGTCATCTCTGCCTTCCCTCTTTTCTCTGTCCACACTCTAGGCCTGGTTGGCTTCCTCCTGCCAAACAAAGTGGCATCTCTGCATAATTTTGAGCAGGATCAGTCACCCAATGTCACATAGGCAGCTTATAGTTTCTTTATATTTGTGGAGGGACACAGAATTAACCTTTGAATGACTTACCATCCAGGTAGGAGGATTGTTGTAACTGAAAAATGGGGACCATTAAACATTTCCTGTTGCTTATATAGAGTGTATTTGGTGTGTTCATGAGTGTTCATGAGTATCTCCTTGTGTCCTTCACTAACTTGTAAATGTTGGTGTAAAAGTAAACTTAGTAATGAGCCAAGTCAGTTTTAAAGCTCACATCAGTGTCTTCCTTAGTCGCAGTGAGATAAGCTTTGAGACCTTGCTTTAGGATAGTACAGAAAGATCACACATTTCTTCAGCTTGCAGTCTTAATTTTCTGGGGGGAGGGGAAGCACACCCTTCCCCTCCCAGTGTTACGCAGAATAAACAGGCAGGCTGGTGAAGGTTTTTATACGTTTTGCTTGGAGACTATTTAGTGCCTTCTGAAACTGCCCTAGGAGATGAGATTGGAGTTGCACACAGAACACAGGACCAGTAAGTACATATGCCAAGACTTTGCTGCTGGAATTAACATCTCTTCCCTTTCTCTTGGGGCTTATGTCAAGGTGCAACTGTTCTGCAGAGGGGCTCTGTGTGGTAACAGATTTTTTCCCCGTTTCAAAGACCGAGTCTAATCAGCTGGCCTGAAATTTACTATGTAGACCAGGTTGGCCTTAACTCACCTGCCTCTGCCTCCTGAGTGCTAGGATTAAAGGCATGCTCCAATGTCGTCAACAGGACTTACATTTTAAAAAGTCAAGTGTAAGGGTATGCACTTATAATACAAGTGCTAGAAGAAGCAGAGGTAGGGTTACTGACTTGCGAGGTCAGCCCAAGTGAAGATTAAAAAAGTCTCACAGAACAAAACAAAGAAGCAGGCAGACTACACCTGAGGCATGATAACTCAGCTTGTGTGCTAACCTGCGTATAGACACACGCACGAGAGGAGTTGCAAACTCGTTTATAAACTGAACTGATTTTGAATCAGTATAAAGTGAATAGCTAATAAATTAAATTACTAAAGACCATTCTCAAGTAAATTTGTTATCTTAACTATTTAAATTGGCTTTAACTCTAGGAGGCAGTGATGAAACTGAGAGAAATGGGCTTTAAAAGTGTTTAAATGCCTTATTAGCAAGTTAACAATCTTAAAAAAAAAGCTGGGTCTCAGTTTCTGGTAAAATAATCTATATATTCATCCACAAGTTCTTGGGATCAATCAGTATTATATGCTACCCTTAGCCTACAGTAAGTGCACCTTTTCTAGAGTGGCTGGCACAATAAAGACTTTATTGGCTGGGTTAGTAAAGATGAGGTACATCTAGATCAGACTAAGCAATTTTTATAATAGGGGACTTCTCTCTAGCAAAAATCCGTTGAAATAGCTTGTGTCCTCTCTGTTATGACTCTGCATTGAAGGAACAGAAAAGCTGTAGAAAAAATACTAAATTTAGTTTTTAAACGGGGTAACAATTATGATATTTTAAAAGATACAGGGTTTAAGAAAAATGGAGTCAGGGCTGGAAAGATGACTTAGGGATTGAGAGCCCTGACTGGCTGTTCTTCCAGAGGACCCGGATTCTACCCCCAGCACTCACATGGTAGTTCACAGCTCTCTGTAACTTCTAGTTTCCCGCCGAAAAATACCAATGCTAATTAAAAAATGGAGTCAAGAGACTGATTAAAACCAGCCTTGCTGTTGACTAGCATTATGAACTTCCAGTGTTGGTTTTTCTCGTGTGAGTACCAAATAAGGGAACATTGTAAACCATCTAGTATAAGACTAGCAGCCAGTAAGTGGCAGCTGCTGATAATGTAGCAAGAAAACAGGCTGCAGGGCAGGGAGGGATGAGAATGTGAGCAAGGCAAGGAACAATCCAGGTTAGTCATGATATGGGCCACGAACATTCCCTGAGCCTAGCCTGGGAGCCCAGTTTCACATTGGCATTATTTTTTCAGGTGGATACCATGTCCTTGAAGATTCAGACCAGCAATGTAACCAACAAGAATGACCCCAAGTCCATCAACTCTCGGGTCTTCATTGGAAACCTAAACACGGCTGTGGTAAAGAAGTCAGATGTGGAAACCATCTTTTCCAAGTATGGCCGTGTGGCTGGCTGTTCTGTGCACAAAGGCTATGCTTTTGTCCAGTATGCAAATGAGCGCCATGCCCGAGCAGCAGTGCTGGGAGAGAATGGACGGGTGCTGGCTGGACAGACTCTGGGTAAGTTAACCTCTTCTGTCCTCTATGTAGCTACTGTCTGGGTTTAATGTATATGAGTTATATTTGTAATTCTTAAATGAGTGCCTGCTCTATAGAGTGAGGTCCAGGGCAACCAGGCCTACACAGGGGGATCCTGTCTCAAAAAAAAAAAGTTTGTATACACGCACACACGAATATGTAAATCATGGTTCTTGTGTAGAGACATGTCAGAGGACAGCTTTTACGGAGTTCCCACCTTCATGTGGGTTCTTAGGATCAGACTCAGACCATCAAGCTTCCTAGACAAACACCTTTCTCCCTGTTCTTCATAGCCTCTTTGTTTCCCCTTAATTTTTTTTTCATACAGTATATTTTGAATATTCCCCAACTCCTCCCAGATTGTTTTTTTTCTGAGACAGGGTTTCTCTGTAGCTTTGGAGCCTATCATGGAACTTGCTCTGTAGACCAAGTTGGCCTCAAACTCAGAGATCTCTAACCTCTGCCTCCCAAGTGCTGGGATTAAAAGTGTGTGCCGCCACCACCTGGCTTTCTCCCAGATCATACCCACCCATCTAATTTTGTTTTTTTTTCCCCCTCTTTCTCTCAAAGAAATATATGAATAAAAACAAGGAAAATCAAATAAGCAAAAAAGAAACAAACCAAAAAAAACCCCCCAACAACAACAACAACAAAAACCCAGAGAGATAAAAATGACCAAAAAGTGGAACAGAAAGCCCCCCTCCAGGAAAAACAAACAAAAAACCATGAATTTATGTTTTGTGTTGGCCAGCTCCTCCTGGGCATGGGGCCTGCCCTGGTACATGGTACCCACTGAAGAAAACTAATTTTTCTTTTGCTGGCAGATATCAGTTGCAAATAACTTCTTGTTTAGGAGTAGGGACACTCTGTTCAGTTAACCCCTTTAAGTGCTACAACCCGGTTGGGCTTGAACCTGTGTAGGTCCTATGTGTGCTGCCACAGCCTCTGAGTTCAGATGTGCATTAGTCCTGTTGTGTCTGGAAGACACTGTGTCTTTGAAATCGTCTATCACTTCTGGCTCTTGGGACCTTTCTACCTCCTCTTCTGCATAGATCAGTGTGCCTTGAGGGGAGTGGTTTGATGAAGACATCCTATTTAGAACTCACGTTGTTCAGTCCTGGGTGTCTGTTAATTCCTGTCTTGTAAGAAGCAGATTCGCAGATGTGGGTTGAACAATGCACTCACTGATCTACCGTCATAACCTCTTAACAAGCTTTATGGTTCCAGTTAAAAGCAAGATTCTCCATAGAAAATGAACAAAATGGACTAGTATATCCTGTTACCCCAATATATAGAAGATATGGGATAGAACCCTTTCTAAAAGCTGTGAGGAGCTGTGAACACAAGGACTAAAGGGAAAGCATGTGCTCTTGGCATTATTGATTACATACATATGAAGTGACTGTTGTCTACCTCACAGTGTTTTTATGTGTATATGTGTACATGCGTGCTTGCTTGCTCACATACTTTGTATAGAAGTATATCTGTATGTATTAGTGAATATGAGATGTGCAGATGTGAATGAATGTGTAGAGAATGTGAGCACATAGTTTTACATGTATATGTATAATGTGTGAGAATATTTGTGAGTGTGGAAGCAGATGTGCTTATATTTTTTATTGAATATTTCTTATAGGCTAAGCACTATGGTAGGCATAAAGATGTCTAATGTAATACCTGTGAGTATTCATTGGCTTCTTTGCCTATAGGCAGTCTGATTATACTTGAGTATAAGGGTTATCTATGTATATGACTTTCTTACCTGGATATGTATATGTGAGGTTATGTATGTGTTCATATATATCTGATTTATATGAACGTACTTGAAATATGTATTGAAGACTTACGTATGTATTAGAATGTATATGAATATACAACCAGGCATATCCCTGTGATGTCCTAGTCTTCTTCTAATGTTTGAAAATTAAGTGAAGACCTTTGGATACCTCAGTTCCATGTGTGCATTGTGTAAATACATGGAGGCATGATGATGATATGTGTGGGCATACTGCTGTCATGTCAGCATTCCAACTCTGCTTCTTCCCTCCACACAGACATCAACATGGCCGGAGAGCCCAAGCCCAATAGACCCAAGGGGCTAAAGAGAGCAGCAACTGCCATATACAGGTGAGGCTCTGTGGCTTTTTGTCTGTATTAGTTGGGTTCTTCTTTTCACAGAGGGTGTAAATGCTGATAGTGACAGTGTGCTGAGTTTAGAATTTAGGAAGACATTTGGAGATGAGGACCTATGGAGAAGTGGGCTGAGTGGCCATCTCCCTTTGTTTTCCCAGTGGCTACAGCTTTGACTATGATTACTATCAAGACTACTTCTATGCCAGGTGAGCAGGGAAGGGGTGTGTCTAGGCATTAAATAGCCAAACTGGACGGGTCTTAGATTGCTGGTGTAGCTCACAAAGTCCTGTTTGGGAACTGAAGCACAGAAGTGTGAATGGGTCTTTGCTTCAGGATTGCTTCACAAATCAGGGACAGAGCTAGGACCAGAGCACTTACTGTCAGACCAAACTTTCACACTCTGACTGCCTTGCCTCTTTCTAGTCCTATAGTGTAGGGGAGTGTATAGCTTAAGGATGAACACACCTGGCTAGCTGAGGTACAAAAACAGTCACAGTGCTTTCACAGGTAGTTCTTGAGCCCTTAAACTCTGTTCAGTCTCTTTGTAAGGTGCTCACCCAGCCAAAATGAAAGCTTATGGATAGTTTGATCTGACCGTTATGACTAAGAGGCCACAGTTATTTGGAGGCCTGAATTAGTCCCTGATGGGTTGTGATCTGTCTTTTATCCCCAGTCAGTGCTACCTAGACTTCAACCTTGAAGTCTATTCCAAAGGCCTCAGCCACATTTGTTGAGAACAGTTTTAAGAACTCATTATCCTTTTACATCTGCCTGTCTAGTGCAGGGATTATAAAGCTTCTGGTCATATGCTTGACTAGAGGTTGTGGTAAAGATTAAATCAAAACCACTCCTTCCTTCTCCAGACATCCCAAGGAAAACACCTTTGCTGAACCATTTTCTCTGCTGTGCATGTTTCAGGAAATAGTGTGGTACAGTGGAAAGTGTCATAACTGGAAGTCAGGAGACTTGCATGCTGGTCTCAGCCATGTCATTGAATGGGTTGTCTATCTTTGGGCAAATTCTCCTACTACTAGCCAGTGAGATAGGCTTATACCAAATGATCTCTCAGGACTCCTGAAGCTCTTGAGATTGGTTCACTGATTTCTGACCAAGGTCAAAGCCATCACCTCTGATCTCTAGCTGTTACTCTTTGAACAAGAGCACCAAAAAATGGAACCTTGAGTTTCTTAGTGATAGCAGGTATTATGACTCCAAAAAGTAGTTATAGAGTATATCCCTGACCACGGCTGTGGTTCCTTTTAGAACCAAGTTAAAGCAGATGTGGTGGGACAGTTCTCCTACTCAGCCTTCAGCTTCTGTCTCATTTTCAGGAAGAGAAGCCCTTCTGGAGAGGACCAGGTTATATGTTAGAGTAACAGCAGATAGCCTGGGAGCTTTGGGTCTAATTTAGTACCCACCTTTTAAATACTGTTGAGTGCTTGACCTATATCTCTGAAGTATAAAAGGCGTTGAAGTGGTCAAAAAGAAAAGAAGGGGTTTAGCTGGGTGGTGGTGGTGACATATGCCTTTAATCTCAGCACTTGGGAGGCAGAGGCAGGTGGATCTCTGTGAGTTCGAGGTCAGCCTGGTCTACAAGAGGTAGTTCCAGGACAGCCAGGACTGTTACACAGAGAAACTCTGTCTCGGGGTGGGAGTCTGAGGCCATGGTTGAGTGACCTTGTCAAGTGTTTTAAATCAGGTTCTCATGTTCCACCCTTACTGCACGCTCAGGTAGACCGTGAACTTGGACAGCCCTCATTAAGTAGATGGGAAAACCAAGGTTCAGGGGTTAGCCACCTATTTTCAAACCTCCGTTTCCAGGTGGGGATTTAGGCTGTTTAGACATTTACAGACTGATCTAAGGTTGGGGGTGGTAGTTACCTGAATAGAAGGCAGGTCTGGATGTATACTGCTTCTCCTGGCCTGACTGGGGAGAAGGTGGAAATAGTAAGGCTTTCATTAGACTTTAGCATCCAGTGAAGGAAGCCCTTTTCATACCAGGGCTCCTTGGAAGCAGACACTTCTTTCTGGCCCTTTCAGGTTAGATGGGTAAAACTAGTGTTGTAGTGCCTCCTGGTGGTCACAGGCCATGCTGCAGCCTCTGTTTTATTTGCCTTTGCAGGCTGTTTGATTATCGAGGCCGCCTTTCTCCAGTGCCTGTGCCCAGGGCAGTCCCAGTGAAGCGACCTCGTGTTACGGTTCCTTTGGTTCGCCGTGTCAAAACTACAATACCTGTCAAGCTCTTTACCCGTTCCACAGCCATCACTACTGGCTCAGCCAAGATCAAGTGTGAGTGACTCCCTCCCTTCTTCTCTCTCTTTCATTTTTATTTTATTTTGAGACAGGGTCTCACTGTGTATCTCTGGTTGGCCTGGAACTCAACATGTAAACCAGACTAACCTAAAACTCATAGAAATTCATCTACCGCTGCCTCCTGGGTGCTGGAATTAAAGATGTGTGCCACCACATCCTGGTGGCATCTATCAGTCTTTCTAGATTGTTGGATCTTGAACCCCTTTGGGGTTGTATACCAGATATCCTGCATATCAGATATTTACATTATGATTCATAACAGTAGCAAAATTACAGTTAAGAAACAATGTTTATGGTTGGGGGTTTACTATATATAACATGAGGAACTGTATTAAAGGGTTACAGCATTAGGAAGATTGAGAAGCACTGCTCTAGTTGGTTTGGTTTTTATCACTAAAATGATAGAATCACATTTTTAGCAATTTATTTTTAAAATTTTAAACTTTTCTGTTTTTTGTTGTGTTTTTTTTTTTTTTTTTTTTCCCCCAAGACAGGGTTTCTCTGTGTCACAGTCCTGGCTGTCTTGGCACTCGCTCTGTAGACCTGACTGGCCTCAAACTCACAGAGATCTGCCTGCTTCTGCCTTCCAAGTGCTGGGATTAAAAGCATGCGCCACCACTGGCCAGCTAATCTTTGTTTTTATTTTATGTGTATGGGTGTTTGCCTGCATGTGTATCTCTGCAGTGTATATGCAGTGCCTGTGGAGGCTTGAAGAAGGTGATGGATGCTCTGGGACCGGACAGTTGTTACAGACTTTTTTGAGCTGTCATGTAGGTGCTGGGGATCAAACTCAGTCTTCTATAAAGGTAGCCAGTGCTCTTAGCCAGTGAGCCATCTCTTTAGCCTCTAGAATCATACTTTATTAACATTGATAAATAAAGGAGTAAATCTACAGTTGAAGTTACTCTTAACAATTATGTGTTTGGATGCATCTCTTAAATTAAAAAAGAAAGAAAAAGTCCAGTGCTGTGGTGTGACACCCACTGAGGTGATAGCATTTGTTTCTGTAGTAAAGATAATGACAGATTTATTCTGATCTTTGTATACTGCAGTCAAGCACTCAGGAAATCTAATTGTAATAGACTTTTTAGTTGTTGTTTTTGTTTGTTCCAAGATAGCGTTGGAGTCTGTCCTGGAACTTGCTCTTTAGACCAGGCTAGCCTCAAACTCACAGAGATCCACCTGCCTCTACTTCCTGAGTGCTGGGATTAAAGGCGTATGCCACCACCACCTGGCACAAAAGATATTTTGTACCTTTGAAAACAGACCCCGCCCAATAACACCTAATGACACATGATTACTTCACAGAACACACTGCAGGCTTACATTGTTTTTTCTTTTTGAGATGGAATCTCATGATTTAAACCAGGTTACTTTTGAACTCACAATCCTCCTGCCTTAGTCTCTGAAATGCTGGGATTGCAGATGTGTAGCACACATGGCTCAGACCTACAGGCAAGCTTTATAAAACATAAATAAAATATCAGTCTATTTCTCCCTTTATCTAAAATCATAAAAAACAAGACTATATCTAATATAAGAAAAACTGTATACAATAAGTACAATAACTACATACAATAAATACAGGCAGTAAATACATCAACAATAACTAGTTTCTTTGCATTTGACAAATTCAGAGAAAATAATCCATATCCTATCTTGCTGAGTCCAAAATCTCATACCTAATTTACTTTCTGTAACTTGTATTACCATCCCAAACTATCTTTTGCTATCTCTCAACCTTAAATACTTTCTTTACATTTCTTTCTTTTTTGAGTCCCATAAACAGTGAAAACTATAACTGTCTAGTTTTCAACTACCTCAGAGACCCAAGAAGTATAATAATAACTGAGTAAGCAGGAAGTGCGAGTGACTTCTGAAAAATGTGAGAAACGGCTGGCTGCCTGAACAGTCACCCAGAGTTCCTCTGCAACATTCAGGCATCCATCTTCAACCTACAGGCCTAGACTATCTGAGAGACTTTTCTATGAAGCAGGGTATTTGAAGGTCTGTCCTACCTTGTCTGGGCAAGGTTTGGCAGTCACTCTGTATCCTGCTTGTCCAATCAGGACAGCATAATGTCATCAGTTGAGGCAAGGGCACTTTCTTGCCCAGTGACTTACTTTTGTTACAAACAAAGCAAACTCCATGTGGAGTTTCTTTGATGCCCATCATTGTCTCTGAAGTAGATTGGTGCTGCCAGGAGCAGACATGTCTCATTGTCATTAAAAAAAAAAAAAAAGAACCAATGTTATTCTAAAAAAATTAAATGTTACATTCTGTAGATCTCTGAAGTGTTTGAAGATGACATGTCTATTTAAAATATAACTCTTTGAAAACATATTTAATGTGACAAGTTCAATTGTAATAGGTGACATAATAATAACATATAATAATGTAACAGTTGACAATAATACTTTCAAGAACTAGAAGTTTGCACTCCATTGTTAAATGAAAATGAGCTGTATAGGAACAATACCTTGAACAAGATTAGAAATGTGTGTACAGTCTGTTTTAACAAAATCAATCTCAAATTTCTATCAATATACAAAATTTGTGTACAGTATACAAAAGTCCAATCCTATGTAAAACTTTTAAAACTAGTAGTTGCTTTTTAAAAGAAGATTCATAATCTACTTTTATAATCTCTATCGTCCCTTTTTTCTTTTCAGAGTTGATTCAATAATCTACCCTTTTATCCTATCATGTCTGTATCCCTTTTTTCTTTTCAAAGCAAGAATCTTAAATCTAATTTTCTTTGTTTAGCTTTTTTTCCTGCCCATTACCAATAGCAAACAACTTGTAACCCCCCGTACCACTCCCCAAATGACAAATATTCATAACCCATTGCATGACCAAAACCTTCCACCCTATCTCTTTGGAATGTGGATGTCGTATTCTTAAATATACTTTTACTCCTATGCTGTGGGATAATGTTCTTGTACACTGTAAAGATTTGTCATTCATATTATTTTAATAAAACGCTGATTGGCCTGTAGCCAGGCAGGAAGTATAGGCGGGGCAAGCAAACTAGGACAATTCGGGGAAGAGGAAAGGCAGAGAGTCAGTCACCAACCAGACACAGAGGAAGCAAGATGAGAATGCCTTAATGAGAAAAGGTACCAAGCCATATGGCTAGACATAGACAAGAATTATAGGTAAATTTATATCATAAGAGCTAGTTAGTAATAAGCCTGAACAATAGGCCAAACAGTTTATAATTTAACATAAGCCTCTGTGTTTATTTGGGACTGAATAGCTGTAGGACTGTGCAGGACAGAAACTAACATCTATATACTATTCATCTGTAATCCCTATAGGATTGGGAGGTCTAGGCCAGGTTCATATGTATGAATTGGTCACCCTTGGAGATAGCCTCTTGGTTCTCTCAAGAAGAGATCTTTTCCCTTGGCAGGAAAAGACCCAAAAGAGAATGGCCTTCCTAGTTGACAGAATGAGGCTGGGTTTTGTTTGCATCACCCCAAGTGATAATCCTGTCTCCTCTCCACTTTCAGTAAAGAGCAGCGAGCTACAGACCATCAAAACAGAATTGACACAGATCAAGTCCAACATCGATGCCCTCTTGGGTCGCTTGGAACAGATCGCTGAGGAACAAAAGGCCAACCCAGGTCAGCTTTTGAGAAGATAGTATGCTCGAGGGTTAGGAACTTGACGTTCCAGGCCCTGAGACCTGCTGTATAGTGACTAGCTTTCACTAAGGTGTGCTGAGTAGCTGTGCTAGCTGAATACTAGTTCCTTCTCCACTTCTTTTATCCTTCAAGATGGCAAGAAGAAGGGCGACAGCAGCAGTGGTGGTGGAAGTGGCAGCAGTGGTGGAGGCAGCAGTGGCAATGCTGGTGGTAGCGGCGGCAGCAGTAGTGGCAATGCTGGTGGTGGCAGTGGTAGCTGCAGTAGCAGCAGCCGGCCACAAGCCCCACAAGAAGACACAGCTTCTGAAGCAGGCACACCCCAAGGAGAAGTCCAAACTCGAGATGATGCTGATGAGGAGGGACTGCTAACACATAGTGAGGAGGAACTGGTAAGGGCCTGGCTAGCTATGTGACTTGGAGGGGCTGGGGCTGTTCCCCCTGTGAGCTCCTTTCCTTTTGCTTTCCATAGTGTCAATCCTATGAGGAGTAGGGAAGAATGAGTGAGCAGTGTATCGTTCACTGTTTGAGCTGCTGGTTAGAAGTCCTACTGTAGACTGGGGCAGACCTCAGCAAAGCCCAGGGTCCAATCTGTCTTTTACTCTAAGTGTATTGAAGAGAATTGGGCCTAAGAATTGCACACACAGCCTTGCAGGGAGGAAAGCCATGGGAAGACAGGAATTTTAATTTCACATGAGAATTTTCTAAAAAGCTATTGCCTTTCAAGTGTCTTGCAGGCTGTCTCTTAAAGGAATGAACTCCTATATATACTGTGGAAGTATTCAGAGTGAGGTTAGGAGCCATGAGAGTGGGCCTAAATTGTATGAAAAGGTTCAATTCTTTCAACATTCAAGATGCCTGTTACAGTGTGTTTGCTGCTTATTTAGTGAACACTGAATTCAATATCACATTTTGTAACTTAACAACCTTAACAATAGTCTTGAACTACACATTAGATTAGAATAACCACATTTACCCTGAAGAAGCTAAAGCTCAGAGTTACCAGGTACCTTGCTCAGAACCTTACAGCAAGTAAGAGCAAACCCTATCCTGAAGCCTAAAAACTTGACTGGGTCTGGAGCTTTTTCTTTTAACCACTGCTGGCATACAGCACGAGGATGGATTTTGTGGTAGACATAAATCCTCCTTATACCCCTCATTTCTTTTTTCTTTATTTGAAGCCTTGCCTGGTACTACATCTTATTTTCTTAGGCATAGTGCTCTCAGTGATAGCTCTAAAAGACTAAAAAGTACTCCAAAGGTGGGTATGTGGGTTTAAACTTACAGTAGCCATGGTCTTTCCATGCATAGCAATGTGTCTGTTACACCAGCAAATCCCATGGTTTCTTCCCTTTCCTGTGCAATTGTCAAATGACCCTCTCAGAATACTAAGCCAGTTTTTTGGACTGGTTTTTAGTTGGACCTCCTTTCAAATGGTTCTCCAGGTAGTGCTCTGATCCACAGAACCTTCCTGGACAGACTTGGGACCTGCAGTGAATGATCTGTGCTTGTCTTCTTCTTCTCAGGAGCACAGCCAGGACACAGATGCAGAAGATGGGGCTTTGCAGTAAGCAGGTATGGGGTGCCCAAGAAGCACAGGAAATCAACGAAATGGAGGCTGTAATTTCTTCCTGGTGTGGGTCTAGAGAATCATACTGTACCAAGATTGAAGATCCTCACATGCAGCCTTACTCCTATAGCCAGCATATCAGGGCCACTCAGGAAGTGTTCCCTTGGGAGCAGGATGACAGTAGAGGAAAACTGCGGACTAGGGGTGGTAGAAAAATACTGTGCAGCTTAGTGTGCGAATTACTAAGGGAGAAGTATTCAATAGAACAGACAACCTTCTGTTATTGGCCAGTCTTCATGGTGCAATAAGGACAAGAGTTGCCTGTTCTGTAGCCCAGCTCTGAAGACTAGGGGGTGACTATGAAGTATCTCATGGACCCTGGTTAGTTCAGCTTGATCCTGTTAATGGGAGATGTCCTGTAAGCCGCCTATATGACAGGAGCTGTTAGTTTATTTGATCTCCTCCTCTACCCTGCAAGATTAGAATTGTGTGTATATCATAGAAGTGGAAATGCAGGTGTTGAATGGTAAAATGAAATATCAACATGTCTTTTGAAATTTGGAGCTTAAATTTGAATTCAGTAACATGCAACCCCAAAGTCTCCACTCTGGCCACTGTTTTCTTGTTCTGCCCTACTCTAGAGGAGGTCTATAGGTGACAGAGAGGTACGTTGATAAGTCACATATTTGAAATACAGGATCTCTACCATTAAGAGCTTCCAGATTAGTTCAGAAAACTCCTTGTGTAGGTCTTTCCTCTTTGAACTTGGTGAATTTCTTTTTACCCAGAATGCTGTTTATTATATACCGTGGTATTAAGGCTCAGGTGGGGAGATAGCTCTGGGCAGAGGTTGAGCCTTTCTCATGATTAATTATATGGTCAGAAAATTGGGCAAGGTGCAGACACAGCTTGGCAGATAGTTCACCCCTTTTCTTTACTACTGTGATTAAAGAGTTTCGGTCTCTCAGCCTTAGTTTCTTCTTTGCCTTGACAGGAGAAATGGCCACCAGCAGAAGAGCATCACTGTCTCAGGCCTCAAGACAGGCACCCATCTCTGGATGCCAGTTTGTAGCGGGTACCAGAGGAAAGCTGACAGTAGGCACTCCTCTCCCCATGCATCCCAGCCAGTGAGTGCTACATCCTTTGCAAGTGGAGTTACTGGCCTACCCCTTACCCCATGCACTCTTCCTGTCTGCACTGCCTGGGCAAAGAGGCAGAACACATTCTGCCCTTTTCCCCCAGGGCATTCCCAGGCTTGGGGTTTTTCTATAGGTTTGAAAGTAGGGGCGGGGGTTGGGATGGGTGGGGGAAACCTGAGAATAAAGAGATTGGATCCAAATATACTCTGAGATGGAATGGTTTGCTTGTTTATTTGGTTGGTTTTGTTTGTTTACTGTCACTGTGCACGTATGGTGTGGTAGACCATTTGTTGGGGGGGGTCAAAGGACAACTTTGTGGAGACACTTTGATCTTTCCATCTTTATATGAATTTTTGAGATTGTCAGTCTGGCGCAGGAAACACCACTGGGCCTTCTCACTGTCTCCACTTCTGTGATAAAACACTATGACCAAAAGCAAGTTGGGATTGAAGGGTGAATTTTATCTTCTACTTCCAGGTAACAGTCCATCATTTGGGGAAATCAGGGCAGGAACCGATACACAGGCTTCCAGGTGTGCTCCTCATGGTTTGTTCAGCCTGCTTTCTCAAAGCAGATTGGGCCAGACCTTCCCACATGCCTATGCTGCATTTTCTTGGTTGCAGATTCTAGTCTGGTGGGAAAACTTTGTCACAATTGAGGTTCTCTTCTTTCCCAAGACTCTAGGTTATGTTTAATTGACAAAAGCAGCCAGCACACTAACCTGAGGCCTTTCTCACAATGGTATTCTGGCCTTCCTGCCCACCAGAGAGCGGACATGCTCAACCCTTCTGTTCTCCCATCACTAACTTCTCTCTCCAGTGTCCCATACTTGGTCCATATGCACCAGTATTTCTCTGCTAAATCATTTAAGTTAGGTGTGATGGCACATGCCTATCATCTTAGCACTTGGGGAAGTGGAAGCAGAAAGATCAGTTCATGGCTGGTCAGGACTCCCTGATACCTTGTCTCCAACAAAAACAAACCCCACAAATGTACGAATCATTTTTGGAGCATCTATGCAAACTCTAGACTCTAAATAGCTTGAAGCAAGAAAAAGCCCTATTTCTTTGCTGACAGTATAATATAGGAGTTTTGAAATTAAAGCTGGAGTAAGGTAGCATGTAAATATAAGCCCTAAATTATCTTTCCCTTTTGGTAGGTAAGGTAACCTTGGGCCATTTGTTCTACTCTATCACTGCCATTTTGGGCTGTAAGATTACATTCAGACATTGTTCTGAGCTGCCAGTGTCTTGTTCCTATTTCCTTTTTGGGAAATAGCCTCTAGATTTCAAGGATGTTTCTATACTAGTTGATTGCTCCTTAGGAACTAAATGTTCTCAGAAAGGACTCCCCACCTCAGAATGCAACACCATCATCAGAAAGGGCGGGCCTGGGTTCCTACTCAAGTTTGCAAGCCGGCCCTGCTGAATCCCTTATTAAACATTTCCAGTTTTAGCTATCAGCCACATCACAACTTCTGTTTTGGTAGCGAACAGGTGCTGAATGTGGGACAGTGCTCAGACAGTTATACTCTGCTTTTGTAGTATTGGCTCTGTAAGAATGTGTGTGCTGAAAAATACAGGAGGCTAGAGATTTTGTGGGTATTCTGCTAAACTCTTTATAGGTATCTTCTCCCAGAAGTGGAGATACATCATCTTAGCCTATTGAGAACTGACTTATTTGTCGAAGCGCATGTCACTTGGGAGCCAAGATGCAAATCTCCGCTTGTAGCCTAAAATGACTCTGATGTACTACTGTTCCTGATTTTTGAGTCTCTAGGGCTTTCCTGTCTGTATATTCCCAGTGTTCTTTGCCGACTCCCTCTAATGCCTGTACCTCTCTCTACCCTTTTCCTTTATGGAACCTAACCTATGGCGTCTACTCTGTGGCAGCTGCAATATGCTATCTTTTTACATGTCCATATTACATGTCCAGCCCTAGCGGAACAATCACCACTATAAGTTCGCATCCTCCACTCTAATTTTCCCATGTTAGTCCGGGACTTTAACTCAGTAAGTTTCAGACACATTCCATTTCTTGACATTCCAACAAGAGGTAACCATCTATAAAGAACCATGTGATTGAGTTGCATGAAATAAAATGTCATGTTTTTAAAGTAAGCTTGTAATTTTGTGTTATACCAACATTCATGGCTATGTTTGACTGGCCTGCTTGCTGGGCACAGGTTAAACACACCTCAGCCCTTTTTCATACTAGATTTTAAAAAGTTTTGTATGTTTTTAGGAGTATGACCTTTGTAGATGTTATAGCATCACATATAGAAGAGAGCATTGGGAACTGGAGTTGTGAGTTGCCATGTGAGTTAGTACTGGGAATCAAACTTGAGTCCTCTCAGAGAGCACTGAGCCACCTTTCCAGCCCTAGACTATGGTCTCCATATTTACTTTGCACTAGGCCTCTGCTGCTCTCCCTTCCTCCATTTTTTTGAGATCTTAGATACCTGTTTGTCTATCTATCCCATCTATATGAGCTCTTGTTGGTACTGCCTATGTCTCTAAAGTACTGGGAACTAAGGTGTGTGCTACCACACCCAGCTTTTACCAGTTACTTAATGTTCACTGTTATGAAGTTGAAAATTGTGGTTGAAGTCACTAGCAGATAAACTGTCCCATGCCATCCCCTAAGTAGTCCCACCAAGAAAAGAACTGGACAAAACATATAAACACACAAAAGCAATGGAGCACTAGTTATACAAGAGGCACCGATCCTTGCTTTATTCACGCAATAATAGCCAACATTGGGAATTAGGGGCAGAAGTACAAAAAAGAAAAAAATTGTAGTCAACGAACAATTGTGATCAACATGGCAGTGAGTAGTGGCATGTCAGCCAGTGTATGGCCCATCTCTTGTCCTACTTGGTCTAGGGAAGGTTCCTTCTACCACTTCACAGCCAAGTTATTTGGTAACACTTGGCCTATACTTGAAAATTCAGGGTCACGGTAATTAAAAACAACATAGCCAAGACAACTAGGCTGGCTGAGTGACTGACTGTTCTTGGGCCATTTAGCAAGATTAACAGTCTGGTAGCAGGAAAGTGAGGTGTATCATGTAGGTCCTTATCCTGGTGGGTCCAAGTAAGGCAGAATATAGCACAGACCCACAAGATGGACCCTCCTGTGCACCAATGGAGAATACCTCGCTAGCTCAGTCCTCAGAAGCAAAGCTGGAGGTAACAGCAAGACCACAGACTTAGCAGTATCTCTTGGTTTCTCGGTCACATTCAAGTTAGTTTAGTACAGAAAAGCATTTGGGGGGGGGGGTCCTTTTACTGACCTAAAACACAGGTTGGAGAAGCTTCCTTAAGTGCTGCTATTTTAGACCCAAGAAGACTTGTCTGTACTGTGCATGCTTTCTCAACAACAAAAAGCCTAATATCATTAGTATGTCAGGAATAGGACATACAGGCCTATAACAAGAATTCCAAGGTCTAGCACCTGATAGTTCCCTTGTGCAATAACAACTGAAATTCCAGCTGGAGTCAGTTTCAACTGCTGTCACACGAGGGAAATGAGGAATTGGCAGTGAGGTAGTAGCAACAATCCTCACAAAAGGAAATAATGAAAACCTTCATTCTGTGGATACTAAAAACTGGCTGCTGTGCCATGTCTTATGTTCCAAACCACTCAAGTCATACCTATTCTTGCCATGTAGCTCAAGAAAAGCTGAAAGGGAAGATAGCCGCCCAGCCCTAGTATCTGCCAATATTCAGTTTCTGAGGACAGAGAGAACTTGCCAAAGTCCAGGAACCAAGTTTTGTTTTGTTTTTTTTCCTAAATTCAATGAGCATTTTATTATAGAAAAGAAAACTAAAGGACAGATCAAATTGAAAGAATCACTGTTATAATAACTTTAATTTATCTTGCACTTTACAGAAGTCTATGAACGATTTTAAAAAGCACCTCCTTACCCCATCATGTTTCTCTGACAGTTGTTAAAGTAGGCAACGAGTATGTCAACAGCTTGAGTATCGGCATCTTGCAAGGATTTCAGATCAATCACTCACCAAAGAACTTGGCAGCTTTTCTATCTTGTTTTTAACTCAATGGTACGTCCACTCTGATGGTAACCTGTCCAGTCAAATCTCCACCACACATTTTGGAAAAAATCAATGGTGATTAGCAAATTAGTTAGCTTTGGCACGGAGCTGTGCTCGCTTGCCTGTGACAGCCTGGAAACCAGTTTTAATACTGGCAACAGAGCATCGAGAATGACAAGTTTCACACTGTAAGAAATAGAGTCGGGTGTCTTTCTGTAGGATTGTGTCCGGTGATCGGCATGTGTGACAAGTAACGTATTCCTCTGTGGAAAAAGCAACACAGTATTATCTGCTAGACACAGTAAGGCAGAAGCTCCTGCTTGCCCATAGAAATGCAACTACCTCATAAGCTATAGACCAGAGAGTAGAGTTTACTCAACCAGACAGGTAAGTATAGCTAATGGCTATTAGCTGTCTGCTATAATGCTTTTGGTGCAGTAAAATACATGTTAAAAGGACTTCAAATGCCCCAGTTAGGGAAGTTTGCCAGATGGGTATTCTTGGTGCCATTTATGGATGATCCACTTTTGCCTTCGGTGAGAAAAGGCAGGAAATACCAATTTTAAACGATTAGGTAACACATGAGGGTCGAGGCAAGCCAGAATCAGCCAGCAGAAGCTATATTAACTTGGCTTTCTACCACTTCACTATCATTTTCCATCTTCTCCCCCTTTTGTGGGGTGGTGGGGTACAGGTGGGGGAGGAGAGGTTTGAGACAGGTTTCTCTATGTAGATCAGGCTGGCATCAGACTCAAAGATCTCTCAAGTACTGGGACTGTGTGTGGTACCATGCCCAGCTCCATTTTACATCTTTTTAAGGCTTACTTTTCCCCAGGTTCATTACAAATGGATCTCCTCAAAACGCCACAGCCTAAAGAGAATATTTCAAAATAATACAATAAAATCCAATTATACACTTACTGATATATCTTCTCAAGACATTTTCTATCTGTTTCTGTTGGAATCTTCCTTTGATTACAAGTTGGTTATTACCATCTATAGAGCCACTATGAAAGAAAGCATAAATATCCCATTATTTTTGTTTTCCTGAGGGAGCTCAATTCCAGCATACTTAATGAACTTAATATATTCAATAATGATCGTTTTTAAGGTGCTATACTATCCGGCTCCTCATAATTTTAT